CGTTGGTGGTGCAGGTACCGGCGGAGGGATATTTTTAGGCTTGATGGGAGGAGGGTTAGGGGGCCTCGGAGGAGGCACTGCTTTTGGTTTATTGCCTTTTGGTTTATTAACTACAGCATACAGATGAGCAATTTCCAAATTCTTAGATTCATCTTCTGGTGAGGACGGTACCTTGTCAACAGTCTTTTTCATTTCTTCACTACTTTCCCTTTAAATCAATTGAAATAACAAACTTTATTTGACTCCATGGATATATAACAACAAAAACATTTTTTTTTTATAATGATAATTTGAATGCTTTTGTTCAGTACCATGCCCTGACAGACTTAAGTAAAGGCACAATTATTTTAATAAGTACTAAAAAAACTAGTGGCCACAAATATTACAGTTACTATGATATTACTATCAGTATTCCACATTGGCTGCCCATCCATAATCTCAAGAAAATATCATTATTAAAATCAACACATGAATATTTATAAAACTTCGGAGAAATGAGCCATACCAAAATACTAATAAATCACAAATAAATTCTCCAAATCATTTTTTATTTACATTAAAATGAAAGAATAATTCTCTAAGACCAAGAAAACGATCAGCTTTTTATTTTAAAATTCATCTGTGCTTTGATTATGATTCTTTTTTCATGAAAACTGAATATTTATTTGTTTTATCTAAAAGATTAGAAATACTCTGAGCCCACAGTAATATAGCTTGTCTGTTTAAGTTATACTGCCCTCTATAGCTTGATATTTTTACATGAAATTAACTCACCCATCGCTGGCTGTGGAGTCATCACTTGATCTTGAGCGCCAGTTTGTTTGTTTCCAGCCTTTTTTCAATTTCTTTTTCTTTTTACCTTTTCCATTTTTTTTGGCATCTGTAAACAAGAATAACAAATATTTGTATAATTGACAGGGGTATGTAACAAGTCTGACTCTAATGACTGGGTGATGAAAAACATTACATTTTTTTACTGTAAACATAACAGTTTTTCAGAACACAGGAACAAATTCCTTGATGCACTATTTCTACTCACCAGATCACCAAATCTTGCCAAATAAAGAATTGTTTATCAAGATTTTCTCAATTGTAGACAAATATGTTTGTAGTATTTTAGCTAATTTTGTATTTCAGATTTTAAAATTATTTTAGAATAGTCGTTTCCTAAACTAAACTAAACTAAACTAAACTAAACTAAACTAAACTAAACTAAACTAAACTAAACTAAACTAAACTAAACTAAACTAAACTAAACTAAACTATCCTATCCTATCCTATCCTATCCTATCCTATCCTATCCTATCCTATCCTATCCTATCCTATCCTATCCTATCCTATCCTATCCTATCCCATCCCATCCCATCCCATCCCATCCCATCCCATCCCATCCCATCTTATCCTATCCTATCCTATCCTATCCCATCCCATCCCATCCCATCCCATCCCATCCCATCCCATCCTATCCTAT